CTGTAATTCTGAGTGTTTTATGTGCTGCAGAACAGGAACCTGCTGTAAAACAGCAATTATGCTGAGTCAGGCTTGATTTTTAATCTTTTCTTGTTAAAATCAATAAATCAAATCAAACTTTTTCCAGAAATAAATTGTTCTTAATTTAAATTTGATCAAATGTAACAAAATTACATAAAAGTCCTTTTTCCATGTTTTTGTTTTCATAGAATCATAATAAATGTTTTAACAAACGTTTGTTTTATGACGGAGTAAGTTTGAAATGAAGAGTTTCTGAAGAGTTTTATTTATTTTAACGTCTGACAGAGTTTGTTTCAGACACACACACAGGTTACATGTTGCAGATTTGTTTTAACACACAATCTGTTTTACTGCAGGCTTTAGGACCGGCTCAACCAGGACCTGGACCAGGACCAGGACCAGGATCAGCAGCAGGTCCTTCAGTCTTTCAGTTTCCTGATGAACACATAAAACCTGCACAGGTTACAGATGAAGCAGGTGGTCCAGTGGTCCAGTGGTCCAGCGGGCCGGCTGTCAGAACACACAGGTCCAGTTGGGTCACAGTGAGGAGGAGCAGAACCCACGGTTCTGGTTTTCAGCAGGTTGTAGGATCAAATGTCCACCTTTGTTTCCTGCAGAGCTTCATCATGAGGCAGCAGGACCATGATGATGATGATGATGATGATGATGATGATGATGGGTCAGGATGAAGGCGGAGCATCTGGACCAGAACTGAACCAGGACTCGTGTTCCTCCGGGCTGACAGGTGTTCCAGATCCAGACCTGCAGGTCTCAGGTGGGCCGTCAGGCTCCTGGCAGGGGGGCGGTCCTWCTCTCCAGCAGCCAATCAGCTGCGACCCTGCTGGCGTAGATCACGTAGGACCAGGACAGGACCACCAGGCCCAGCAGGACCTGCAGGACAGGAAGAGGAAACCATTACATCACTTCCTGTCTGTTTTTATGATCAGAATAAAATCTGTGGAGAAAAACAGATTAAATATTCCTGAAACAAATCATCCTGAAGTCAAATCCATGAAAAATATTCACCTGGTCCAAAATAACTCATTAACTAATATTATATTTTTATTGTTGGAAACTGAAACTCATATTTTCCTCCAAACAAAGAAAAATATAAACAAATAACTTAAAGAAATGTTGATAAAAACCCTCAGTTATTTAATCAAAATATCTTGTTTTTATTTCAGCTTCATTCTTTTTGTGGTAAAACTTTTTTAAAGCTCTTTTTATCAGTTTTGGCTTCAGCTGCTGCTTGTAGGACTCGTAGCTTTAGCGGCTAAGCTAACAGCTAAGCTAGCGGCTAAGCTAACGCGTTAGCACGTGAGTTCAGACTCAGAACAAAGTTTAAATAAAATATTTTTACCACAGAGTAAATCCGGTCCAGAGCCCGTGAACTGAGCGGCTCCATGTGGTCCTGAGGGTCCAGAGTCGACCTGCTGCTGGGACAGAACAACAACAACAACAACAACAACAACAAACAACAACCACACCGGTTCTTCTTCTGTCCTTTAATTCAACACGGATTATTTAACATCTTTACTCCATCGCGCCACCTGGTGCCACAGAGGGAAACTACAAGGTAAATATTCAACCTTTATTTCATCAACTATCTTTAACTTCACTAAATTACGTTTTATTTCTGTTGATCTGATTAATTCTTGATAAAGTAAAATGATTGAAGTTTGTTGGAGAGAAGGAAACACTTCCGTCTCAACTCAACAAAGATCCTTAAAATGATGACTCACTTCGCCGTTGTTTTAATGATCATTTGAAAATAAACGTTTATTTCTTTATCAGTCAGTGTGGTTAGTGACTAATAAACATATTCTAACACATGTAGCACTTTAATCTAAGTGTTTTAAAACTGCACGTGCTCAGAGGCTTTTAGTGTTAAAACTGTCCAACAAAAGGTGATCATTGTAAAATTTAACAATCTAACAAAGTAAAACAAAACATTTTTAATATGTAACTATGATGCTACATAAAATTGTTAATGCATCTGTGATGAATTATCAAAAGTGAAAAGTAGAACATTTTACAGGTTTAAAAGTGTATTTTACAGCCCAAATGAAAAAAAAAATGATATATTTGATGTTTTGTTTCCTGATAAGAAAGAAGAATTTGTTTATATTTTATATCCATAAAGCTAGGTTTCACCCAGCTTCAGGTCTTTCATAAATCATTTTGAATTGTATAAAAAATCTCTAAAAATGATGAAAACTAGCAAAGTAAAAATAATCCAGTCCATGTTCTCTGTTTCATAATGAGACTAATATCTAAAAAATGCCTTTTTGTACTTTTTATTTTATTTTTTCTTCTGTTTTACTTGTTTACTCTTGTTTTTATTCTCATTCTTGTATTTGTTAAGATATATACTGTTGTTTGTTCAACTTATTCTGCATATTTGCTGCTCATCTGTTCCTTACTTCGACTTTTAGACAATAATGACACAAATGTTCAACACATGTTTGTTTTTTTATGAAATACTGTTCTGCCATGCTCGTTTCATTAATAATTGTTTTAAAAAGGAACAGGCACATGTCAAGGCAAATAAATAAATAAATAAATAAATAAATAAATAAATAAATAAATAAATAAATAAATAAATATTTCTCACTGGTAGTGAGGTGTCTTCATTAATATTGACGATCTTTGTCTGTAGATTGAGGCAGAGGTCAGATTTCCCGTCATGCCCCGCGGCCTGTGTTTCTGCACACAGAGCAGCGTCGCTGTGGAGCACCGACACACGACATGTCTGTGTTTTTACAGGCAGCCCGGTTCTGAAAGGACCGAACTTCTCGAGCTGGGGGAGGCGACCTGTCCGCTGACCGGGAAATGCCTCTTCCGGCGCGGACTTCGTCCCGCAGGAGGAAGAAGAATCCGGACGATGAGGAGCGAGCCGCGGGGGAGCGTCCTCCCGAGGAGGTGCTGCAGCTAGCAGTGTTAGCATGCTAACAGAGAGAGCTAAAAGGCAGAAGCTCACCTGTGTCATGTCCTGTTACCTGTGATGTAGTGAAGGACTGTAGTTTGTAGTTTAACGTGCTGAGTTATATTTATTCACTCTGTTATTAAACAGTGAGAACAGGTTAGCTCAGTGCTAGCAGTGTTAGCATGCTAACAGCAACAACCTGTGTTTGTATTTGGTTAGAAAGATAAACTGTTATGATGCTGGCAGACAGGACTAATGTTTTTAATCTAACATAAAGAAACGTGTGTTTGTTTCACAGCAGCAGGAGAAACTGTGTGTTTCAGCTGCAGTTGTGTTGTGTTGTGTTGTGTTGTGTTGTGTTGTGTTGTGTTGTGTTGTCTGACAGAAACACAGGTCTGAGTAGATCCTGACATGAGCAGGCTGCAGTGACAGGTTAAACTTTAACACTGCTGTTTCTGCAGGGTGCAGGGTGCACATGTTTTATCAGAAAAATGTAATTTAATAAGTATTTTGTTGTAAATACAAAGTTTACTGTATACAGAGTTTACAGTAAACTCTGTATACAGAGTTTACTGT